CAGGTTGTAAATCATGTTTTTAAAAAGTAACTAAGTAACTAAGTAATTAATTACTTTTGAAAATAAGTAATCAGTAAAGTAACGGGATTACTTTTTTGGGGAAGTAATCAGTAATTAGTTACTGATTACTTTTTTCAAGTAACTTGACCAACACTGGTCTTGTGTAGTTAGTGTGAAGTGTAGTCGTTGTTTTGTTTTGTGTGTCAGTTCTACTAGTGGAAAAGCTTGAAAAGGGATGTTGAGAGTGCTTAAAAAGTGCTTGAATTTGGCCCTGAAAAAGGCGTATGAACCCTGCATGCAGGACTAATTTGGACTAAATCAAAAGGGCCGTGCAGCCCTGGTTCACTCAAGGTAATGTCTGTAAAACATAAATATAATAAGTAAATTTCTTAATAAAGTTATAATATTAAGATATTGAGAAGACAAGGCATTTCAGTTTCTTAGTTAATAATAGAGATAGCAATGCCAAGAAGATGCCTTGGATTGGCCCCTTCTCATCCCAGTTAGTTAGAGTTCATTGGGAGTATTTAATGAACATAAGTATGATTTTCTTATATAGCTGTGGTTTGAATGGCTACTTTGCAATATGAAAGAATCCTCAGACTGTCCTCTGATACCCGTGACATGGTCAGCAGAGTCTGCTTGTTGAGTTTGATGCCCTTGAGCTTAATGGACTGTATGTACTAAAACAAATGGAAGAGCCAGTGGTGAAGAGTTCATACCCTGAAAGAGTCATGAACTAATTCTTCTTAGAAGACTGATGAAGGCTTCCATATGGCATGTTCCCTGTTTCTTTCTCCCTCTTTTTTTTTAGCTAAAGAGGGACGGTCAAACAACATCATGCCCATTTAATAATGACAGTAGCTGAAGGCAAACAAGATGCAATCATTTCTTGGTACAATCACAGCTTTGTAGCTTTACTCAATCTTTGAGCAGTGAATCAGATGACTAATTTGAGGCGGACTGCTAGACATTTCTGCTGCGCTATTTATTTTTTTTACTTACCTTATTTTCTACTCGGATAAAAAAATGAAGCCCCTTCATGTCCTCGTGTCTTTTTGCTTCTCAGGTGAGTTTTGATCAGTTCTATCCAGAGGCATTTGTTTTAATCAGTAAAAGCTATATTCTATTTTAATGTGTACTTATACATGAATTGAAGTGAAGAAATAAATGCAATATGTGTAGGTGAATCATTTTTTGGAGTTATCTTCATGGCATTTTCTTGAATGAAAATGGATCTTTTTTGATCTGTTAGAGCAGTTTTGAAATTGTCAGGTCATCTCCAGTAATTTCAAAAATAAATAGAATATTTTACTTTTAATGAATGTCTGATTAATTACATTTATGTGAATTATGAGGCTATTCTTAATACAATCAAAGATTGCTCTAATATGATGTATAGACTTTAACTGGTTTTTATTTGTAATGCAGCTGCAGTGACTTTGAATCTTGATTAAACTCTAAAAAAAGATAAAAACTAATTTTTGCAATTGTTTGCAATGCATGCAATATAATCATAATGTTAAGCCATCAAAAGCGATCTTATTCAGTATAGTTGAATGTACTACTCTTATTATATTATCATTAATATAATTAATGATATAAATATCATTAATATCATCTTAAATTGATATGTACAACAAGAGAGTAAGTTAAGATGTTTGGTGTGATCATTTTTGTGTTATATTAATTATAAGTTACAGTCATACAATTCTTAATATTTTTGCTTTTTTAACTTTATTACTTACATATTTATAATGAAATGGCAACATAATATTATGATAGAATAGAATTGAGTGGGGAAATGTTGTTATTTCAATGCAATGAATTGCAAGTATAATAAATTATGAAGTAGTCTGTATTTTAAATATTTTTTAAATTTAGTCTTCAGTCACATTTTGGTTAAGTTTATGAAAGAACCATGGTTTGGGTTAAAATAGTCCCTTTCAAAAATAGTAAACAAATATCAGGGAGCTTGTCTGGCAGAAATCAGTTAAACTGTTTATCTTTTCATCAATGTTTTTATAATGCTTGAGGATACTTAACTCTGGCTGTGAAATAAAAGGTTTCTTTGTTTAGCCTCTTCTCTGCATGGATATGCATTTTTTTCCTAATTTGCAGAGAATGTTTGAAGGATTAGAAGTCTACAGTGCTTTCTTTTAATGCCATTAAACTGTATTTTATAATTTCCTTGACTCAAACCAACAGTTAACTATGGTATATCAGTTGATCTTATTTTTATAGCAGAGCAGCACTCTCCTCAGTGCATTTTATATCATAAGGTAAAGCTAAAGAGAATGGTTCCCTTGGAAAGAAAGAAACTCACCGGTGTTAGACTCAGGGGGAAAAAAGCATGAACCATTTGGGGTGAGGAGAAAATGGAAAGATAGAAGACAAGCATTCAGAGAAAACAAACATAAAGATCAACCCTGAGCAGGTTAGTAGGGCATGATCCATGATGTCATGTGGACATCAAGTTTCAATTTGAATGAAATGAAATGTTTTTTCCAAATGCATGAGAAGATAAAGAAGTCAGTACAGCAAGAAATATAATTTGTGTTCACCACATTTGTATGCTGGTTAGAGCCAGTGTTAAGCTGTAACCAGGCCTTTTTGTGTCAAACTGCAGCTGTGAGTATGGTGGCCTCAGAAGTGCTAGAGGTGAGCGGCCGTGTTGGTGGTGAGGTTTCCATCCTCTGCTCCGGTAGCTGGAACAGAGACAGCGGTGCCAAACACAACAGCATGTATTTCTGCAAAGGAGTCTGCTCCAGCGAAAGCATTCTCATTCAGAGCGAGAGGAGGCGATCCACCGTCGCAAGTCAAGGGAGATACAGCATTAACAATGGCAGAGAAGATGGAGTCTTCAATGTGGCCATAAAGAAGCTGGAGAAAGCGGACACAGGGAGATATCGCTGTGGAGTGGAGAAAACCTTGAATGTGTTGTATCGGGAAATTAATCTCATAGTTGTAGAAGGTAGGTTAAGTTTCCTGCAGGTTTCCTCCATTGGTGCAGGTGACCCATTTTAAGGTTAAAGTTTTAACTGTAGGTTAGCATAATGCAATCATTTGACCATTTTTGTGCACAGCTGGACTATAAAACCAAAGAAAATCTTTGTGTTGTAAAGTTTCATTGATGTGATCAATTTGTAGATAGGCTGGAGGAGACAATAGCTAATGTTGAGCCCACCAGTATGTGGCTGGCATTTGCAATACTTAACTAAATTAAGACTGAAATGTATATTAACTTCGTTATTAACAAAGTTAATAACAGTGTCACATGAGCACACAAGCATTATCTCTCACCAGTCTTCCTGCGTCCTCTTCTCTCAAAGCTTCCACTGTTCCCAGATCTCCTTCCTCCACTACTATCATTCCGAACAAAACAGCACTTCTGTCACATGACAGCTTTACATCCAGCACCGAGCAATCACCAGCAGCATCTTCACCCTCAGATGGAAAGAGAAACAGACATGAAGCATCCCGACTCACAGGTATTTCAAGGCCGAATGGATCTGATAGCAAGCTTAGCAACAACAAATACAGCATGTATGTATAGCAAAACTCTGGATAAGATGGTTTAATCAGACTCAGATTTATACATTACACCAAAGTTGATTTTTTGGGTGCTACAGCATAGCATTGCTTCCAACTGATGGCATGAAGATACTTGCTCAGTAATAACAAAATAATGACATTTCACAGTCTTGCTTACACATTCTCCATTTCATTGTTTTGATGTATTCATGGTGCAGATGTCATAGTTGTATTTGTGGTACTCACAATCTAGCTACAGCTGGATACCTGTCCAGGGTCTCTACCCTGCCTTTTGCCCTATGATAGCTGCAATAGGCTCCAGCCCCCTGCGACCTTGATAAGGATAAGCGGAAGAGAATGGATAAAATGGACTTAAAATTTTACTTGTAATATAATAATTGTTTTAGTGGTTTGGGTTTTTGGGTTTCACCAAATGTGGCACTGTTAAAATGCCAAACATCTCCACTTTGGTCTCATCTGTCTAAGGGACATAGTTCCAGAAGTCTTAAGAACATTCAGGTGAATACCTGAATACTGCAGACCTGCAAACTGCTACAACTAGTGCAAGAGGTAGTCCCACTTACACTAGCAGCACCTGGCTACTGCTTTCCTTCTTAATTCCCACGCAAGCATCAAACGTTTGCTTAGTTTTTCACACAGTGCTTCTCCATTTTGGTTTAGGTTTTGTTAAATAGATAACGACACAGTGTACAATGTCATGTTTTGTAGTTCACCTGAGATAATTTTTAAATGTTGTCATAGATTAAAAAAATGTAATAAATGAAAATTTAAAGTTTTAACTATACTGTCACATTTGTCACACAAATTTTGGCAAAGTGGCACACCATAGAAGTAACTTTACTCCTAGAACACAGGGAATATTATCAACAGAATTAAACTTTAACATGACACAAGATATTGATCAGTGCTTTTTTTCCCATAAAAATAAGAAGATTTAAAATGTGTTTAGGACAACTGTCTTGATTTGTTTTTTGAACCTGCTGTTCTCCAAACTAAAGGAAAGTCTTTTGTTTTGTGCAGACACTACAATGGTCATCATTGTCTCAGGGAGCTTAGCTCTTCTGGTCTGTGCCATCATCCCTGTTATTTTCTATGGACACTGGCGGAGTCACACAGGCTAGTAGCACAGGTTTAGAGACAGTAAAGTATAATAATTCCATGGCAGGGTATTGTTCAGGTACATTACAAATTTTTTTGTTTATCTCAAAAGGTCCGAACAGAGCTGAAGACAACAAGGGTGAGGTGAGTGACCATTTGTTATTCAACTATTTTAAAACTGAGTTTCCATATCTAAAGGCTGTTTCAAACACTAATGTTCACTGCTCAGAAAATAGCTACAATGGTGATTTATTCACAGGGTGATCATCGGGAGGAAAATACAGATGTTGGATCTGGTCAGGTTGCAGTGGAGCTGCAGGCCTTTGAGTCAGATGTTGCTCCAGAGACCGATGATAATTACACCTCCGAATATGCTGCCATCTACGAGGCACGAGAACCTCAAACCATGGACTGAGAAGTCTTTTTTGTCCTGACAGCTTATTTTCTTCTTTGACTTTTACATAAAAAATAAAGTAAACTATTTGACTCTAATTCTTTGAGAGATTTTTCATATTTCTATATTTGAATTTGGAGCCTTTAGTTGGTTTTATATCATAAACAATAAGCTGAGACATTAGAAACATGAACAACAGCATAAAGAACTATGATTAACAACTAAAGGTTGTATTTCTAAACATAAATTCAAAGTGGTATCATAGTCATACCAAATGATGGTCCGACACACAAGCGGTATATTCAACCTTTACACTTTTTTCTAGCAGCCTTTACAGAATGTGGCTTTCGGTCACATTTATTTCATTTAGCTTGTCTGTTACTTGCTGTCACATCACACAGCTTACTTAAACCTACAGAAAGCAAATAGAAGAGTGACTTTGGATGTTTGTA